GGGGCGGGGGGGGAGCGATGCGCTGCCTGAAGAGCCCAGGACTAGAGCCACCCTGTCCGAGCAGCCAACCCTGTCCTGCTCGGGCCGCTCTACCTGCTGGAGGGGCCCGCACACCTGTAAGCCACCCTGATTCTTAGAGGCACGACCGAGACCTATGCCTCCACATTTAAGAAACCACTGCGCCCACCCACCACCTGCTCACGGTGCGACTCTGAGGGAGGCAAATCGGAAAAGGCCCACTGCTCCTCCAGTCACCACGTGGCTGAGCCCTCGTTTTAAGGGGTGCACACAGAGACCCAGAGAGGCAAAGAGACTCACAGAAGGTGAGGGGGGCTGTCCTGGGGCCTAGGACCCCTGACGTGGTCCCCTGTCCTTTCCACCTCTCTCCACCTCACCCATCCCCTCCTCGGAGACTCGTTCTTCAGCCCTCTGCTCCACTGACAACAGCATGTTTCCCACCAGCTCGTTAAGATTTTCCGACCTCAGGTGACAGGCCGGCCCTGAAGCCACCTGACGACACCATGACACACACACTCAGCCAGCTCCAATCTCCCCCAGTGAAGCCCCAATCCTAGAGTGACAGCTCTTCCCCAGGGACTGCCTGGCAGGTCAGCAGGGCAATGTCGGCCCTTTGAGAGAGTCATCGATCAGCTGCCTCTTGCACACCCCCTACTGGGGATATGCCCGTAACCAAGGTACATGCCCTTGACCGGAATCGAACCCGGGGCCCTTCAGTCCCCAAACCGACGCTCTATCCACTGAGCCAAACCGGTCCTGGCTGCCTCTGCGCCTTTAAGGTGCAGCCTGGGAAATAGCCTCACAAACAGGGACTTGCTCGGCCCTAAGAAACCACGGCCCGAGAATCAAGAGTACAGTCTGGGGTCCAGGTTCAAGTTAGTGGCCGGAGCGCAGGAATCTTATCTCCCTGGAGGGTCACCTTTACAAAGGACTTGTACGCATGCAAATAAGCAAAACAAGACGCTGGGGCGGAGGGGTCTGAGGGCATGTGCTGGGGTGGGGGTAGGGGAGGGGGAAGATCAATGGCGGGGGAAAGGAGACATACATACTACTGTTTGTAATACTTTAAACAATAAAATAATAAAATAAAATAAAAACCTGCCCCTGCCGAGCAGGAGCCTCTGCCTGGGACACATGGGGCTCTGGAGGCTCCGCCCGGGGGCCCAGGGCTGGACTCGGAGCTCACAGGACAGAGAGTGCCCAAGCATTTTACTTAATAAAATAAAAACAATAAAACCGACAGCTTTAGCTCATCTGACTCTGATGAAAGGGACAAGCTGCTGAATTAGGTGGCTAAAACCTCTGATGCCAAATCACCATGTGTTTTCTTTTTGGTATTTCTTATTTTCTACTTGTTTGCAAAGCCACAAGATTTAACTATAACCATTAGGAGAACAGACAGCAGTGGGCATTTCCGATGATGAAAGATTCTACTAACAGCAAACTTAAGGTAACAGATCTTTATTAGGCCCCCTTTGGAATTCAGAGATAAAAACAGTAGCCTGTCATCCTTTAGGGTTAAAATTTAGCCTGCCATCGCGTGGCCTGGGTCGGAACACCACTTAGGCAGTGGCTGGTGCCGCCTTGAACGTCAGAAGACCGAAGGTCTAGTCTGGTTCTGTGTAAACTTAGGCAAGTTATTCCACTTCTACATGACTCAGTTTCCTCAAAAAAAAAAAAAAAAAAGACAGGCATTGACCTTCCCCAGGGAACAGTGTGTAATGTGAGAACGTGCTCCAAGAAAAATTGCAGAATATCAGAGTGACATGGCCCAGTGTTGTCAAGACAGATAAAGGGAGACAGCAGAAAGAGAACAAAAGCCAGTTGTGAAAGAGAAACGGTGAGCTTTCCAATGACAACCTCATATCCTTAAAAAAAAAAAAAAAAAAAAAAGATCAGGTGCTATCAGGCCTTTAGCAAGGTTGCCATGGCAATGAATTCCCAGGAATTCTAGAAGTCTTTTCTACTTCTGGTGCTGGGACAAATGGACAGCCACATGCAAAAGAACAAAGTTAGACCCCTACCCCACACCGTCCATAGGCATCCCTCGGAGGTGCTGCAATAATGCTGGCATCACAATAAAGCAAGTCATAAGAGATTTGCTGGTGGAGGGTCTTGCCTTCAATTTGTAAAAAATGTAACATCTGTAAAGTGCACTAAAACTAGGTATACATGCACAAAAACTAGCTCAAAATGAATCAAAGATCATGTGAAAGCTTACTATAAGACTTCTTAGAAGAAAATATAAACATAAATCTTCTTGACCTTGGATTAGGCAATGGTTTCTTAAATTTGACACCAAAAGCACAAACAATAAAATAACAAATGGGCAGGCCCTGGCCGGGTAGTTCAGCTGTTAGAGCGTTGTCCTGATATGCCAAGCCTGCAGGTTCAGACCCAGATCAGGGCACTTACAAGAAACAACCATTAAACACATAAATAAGTGGAACAACAAATCAATGTTTCTCTCTTTCTCTCAAATCAATTTTTTTAAAAAGAAAAAATGAGTAGTATTGCATTTCATCAAACTGAAAGAACAAGAAAATGAAGACAACCCACAGGATGGGAGAAAACTTTTCCAAATCATATATCAGATAAAGAACCTGTACCTAGAAATGGAAAGAACTCATATAACTCAATAACAAAAAGACAAACAAGTCAATTAAAAATGAGCTAAGGATAAACAATTCTCCAAAGAAGATATACAAATAGCCAATAAGTACATGAAAAATAACGCTCAACATCATTAGCCATCAGGGAAGTGAAATCAAAACCACAGAGAGATCAGTTCACACCCACTAGGATGCTCTCATCAAAAAGTCAGATGACAGCAAGTGTGTGGAGAAAGCAGAACCCTCGCCCGCTGCCGATGGGAAGGCGCTGAGCTGCTCTGGAAAGCAGTCCAGCAGTTACTCAGAAAGCTAAACATAGTGACCGCATCACCCAGCAACTCAACTCCGATGTGTACTCCCAAGAAAAATAAAGACGTGTATGCACATAAAACTTATACAAGAATGTTTATAGCAGCATTTTTCATAATAGCCCACAAGTAGAAACAACTCAAACGTCCATCAAGTGATAAATGGACAAACAAAAGGTAGTCTATCCATTGAATGAACTATGACTCAGCTATAAAAAGGATTTAAGTACTGATGCACGTTCAATAGGGATGACCCTAGAGAGCATTATGCTAAGTCGAAGAAGCTAGTCACAAAAGACCACACATTGTCTGATTCCATCCATGTATAAAACGCCCCAAACAGGCGAAGCTATGTCAAAAGTAGACTCGGGGTTGCCCAGGACCATGGAGGCAGGAGAAAAGTGGGAAAGTGATTGCTAAAGGGTACAGGGTTCCTTTGGGGGGAAGGGGGATGAAAATGTTCTATAATTGATGATGGTCATTCTGTGAACTTAACAAAAACCATTTAGTTGTACACTCTAAGTGGGTAAACTGTATGGTAAGTGAATTATATCTCAGTAAAGCTGTTATTGGCTCCTTCTTCCCCCCCAAAAAAAGGAAAAGGAACCAGGAATCTGTCTTTACGCTGTGGGAGTACCACCCTGCTGTCCCAACATAATCATTATGACGTCCCACTCACTCTACGAAGTGCCCTGGTTTGTCTGATAAACGTATATCATCACCCTGTCACTGTGATATCAAATGGATGTTATCTGGGCTTCAGTTTCCCCATCTGTAACCAGGCTCCCCTAGTTCTGACCCCCTCGGACCCTAACACTGCATCCCAAAAGCTCTACTTCAGAAGCGGCAAATCCCTGCTCAGTTGGAACAGGCTCATCATGCTTTGGAAGATGAACCTAATGAGCGGAGAGTGGAAGCCTTGGGCCAGTATTAATTCCTGGATCCCAGGAAACAGAGGCAAGACAAAGAGGAATTCCTTATGTACCAGGTACTGATATTCAATTCCCTCCTATACCTCTAAGAAAGGTGATCCAAGCACAGAAACTCGGGGGAAAACGCTCCAACCACATCCCCTGCAAATGAAAACGGATCCACACTTCCTGGAGGGCCTCACAGAAAACATCGGATCCTTAGGGAACTTGGCAGGCTTGGCAGCAGGTAGCTGAGTCTTTTCTAAATGTGATTTGGTGAGGCACCAAGAGGGCTAGTCAAGGTCATTGGATCACACAATAGGATGACTTCCTAGTCCTCCTTACCCATGACTACAGGAATAAAACTACACCCAAGGAACTCAAGAGGAGTTATTTTGTTCTCATCCCTTTTATACTCTTAAGAATGAGCCTAAAATAGCCTTTCTGCCCACTCCCCACCTCCCAGGCCTAGGTCTGTGTGGCAGTTCCCACACGCGTACGTGGTGTCCACCGCAGCTACGCAGAGGGGAGCCCACCGCTGGGCTTTGAAGTAGCAGATCCTCAGAAACAAGGTAAAGTGAAAGAAGAAGGCATGGAATAAACCCCACTCCCATCAACCCACCCGAGAACAGGACAGACAGATGCTCACCAGGGTCATCGAGAACGGAAATCAGCACGAAGACAGATGATGGTGGCAAACCGCCCCCATCCAGGCGGCAGTCCTGGCCCCAGAGCCAGTTATCAGAGAGAAAGGCGAAGGTTGGGCAGAGCTTTGTCTGGAGGCAGGGAGAAGTCAAAGGAACAAACACACTGGCACCAAGACAGCCCAGGAACTAGCCTCCAACTAGGAGAGCGAGGCATTCCGACCAGATGCCCCCTCACCGCTGTTGGCCTCTTTAGAGAGGCGAGTGTGGGGGAGGACCAAGGAACCACTCAGAAGCTGGCGGCCAGGAGCAGGGAGAGAGGAGCTGGGGGATCTGCTTGCAGAGGTCTGCGTGGGTTTCTGCTGGCTGCCGGTGTGCGGCTTCTGTAGACCGGCAAGGTCCCTTCTAGCCGCAGCTGGTCAGGGAGCTGCAGCTTCCGATGGTGCAATTCCTATATCCAAGGGGGTCCACAGGGCTGGGCGGTGGAGGCAGCTGCTGCTGTGCTGCTCAGAGGCCACACTTCAGGATGATGTGGTAGCCATCACTGCTTTCCGCTGCAAGAGGGAAACACCGGGCACTCTTCAAGGAGAAAGGCATGGCGCCGGGGCACGGGGGAGTCACAGGAGGCATGGAATAGGGCACCATGGAAGCCCTGTTGAATGTTGGCGAGACCAAAGCAGATATGTCCACACATGCCTTCCCTTCTGTCTGCATCGGGCCTTCCTACCTCAGCTCTGGGCCCAAGGACCAAAATACCCACATCCCAGGATGTTCTGCTCACACAGCTCCTCAGGTGAACAGCCCAGGCCCGTTACATGCAGCATCATTCTGATCGACCCCACACTCTCTTGCCTTCCCTTCTCCTGGCTCATAAGTTCCAGGCTCCTTCCTCAGAAGGGCCTTTCATACCCCCCGACACATACCTGCCCGCCCAGGGCCCCAACCCACCAGGCCCAGCTGCTGTACCCCATGCTCACTTTTCCTAGAGCCTGCGGTTCACAAAAACTCAAACGCATCTTCTGTGCACCTGACACTGAGTCTGGGAGAAGACACCGCCTGGCCAGGACTTCCTTTTCAGAAGTGACTCTGGGCCAGCCTCACTGATCCGCACCCGCCAGGCCAGGCTTCACGTTGAGTCCGTGCTTCTCCTCCCCCAGGACGTTCCAGGAACATCCTCTGGAGGTGAGTGTGTACAGGCAGCCCCCTCTCTCAGCATGTTACCCTGGGGGTGCAGCCATCATACTTCAACTAAGCAAAACAGCTGGCGGGGGCTTTACCTTTTAAGGTGCTGAGGACAAAACAGGATTCATCCTGGAAATTCTGCACCATCTGAAAGGCAAGAGCGAGACCATGTCCCTTCAACCATGGGCTCACGTAAGAAAGCCCCAGGGGTAGGAGTCCAGAGCCTGGACTATATTTCTGTTCGCTTTTGTTTTGCTTTTTCCAGTCCCCATCACAGATACAATACATGAGCCTGTATATATATAGTAGCAAAAGATTTAAAAAAAAAATCTTTACTGGGTCTTCCAGTCCCCATCACAGATACAATACATGAGCCTGTATATATATAGTAGCAAAAGATTAAAAAAAAAAAAAAAAATAGCATGCTTTAAAAACCTGGGTAATTATTGTGAGTTCAAGTTACAGGAGTGGGCAACAAACAGTAGGTTTACAGTTTTGAGTACATGAAACACATCTATAATAATAAAGGGTAATATGCTAATGAGACCAGACATCTAGACAATCTTTCCTGATGAAGCAGGGCCAGCAGGGGGAAGGAAGGCCTATTCTTGCACTAATTTTCATGCATCAGCCCTCTAGTCCTATATAATAAAAGCCTAACATGCTAAGAGTCCAATCATCTGGCCATCCAGTTAAAGTGAAATATGCTAATGATATGCTAAGGATGCTCAACTGCTCGCTATGACATGCACTGACCACCAGGGGGCAGGTACTCTGACCTGTAGGTTAGCTTGATGTTGAGGTCCGGCTGATCGGGACTAAGTAAGGCAGACTGGACACATCCTGGAGCCTGCCCCCCACCCTGCATCCCTCCCCGGCCCCAATCATGCACCAGCTTCTAATAGTTAATAAAGCTACTGTAACAATCATAACCTGCATGTCTTTTTCCATAATGTGAATGAAAAAGGAGCCACCTGCTAGCCTGACAGGCTGAGGGAGGCCTGCTGGAGGCCTCACACGCTCAGACCTGAAGTCACCGCAGAGCATGGTCGGAAATGAAAACTTCCCAACTGCAGGAGGTCCTGGCGGACGGCATGCCCTCGGCGGGCATTTCTCCCCGACGAAGGCCAGTCTCACCTTCACTGAGCCGTCTGCTGTCTGGTTTTCCATCTGGGATAACATATCTGATAACGTGCCTTTGGAATGTCACAGTGATTTCCTTTTCTCCGGGCCTCAGAGCACAGCCTCCCCAGAGCAGACCACAGATCCCCTCAAGGTCATTGTTATTGTGTTAGTTTGGGCTGTTAACTACCTTATACCCAGCAATGTAAAAGAAGTGTCTATTCCTTTGACTTTTCACCCAATCCCAGAGATTTCTCTGCTTTGCCTTCTCCTGCCTCCCTAACCAATCACCAATGAACTCTATGTGACCCCTTACACCTCTCCTTTGACTGTCATGTTTAAAATGAGGTGCAGAGAGGGCCACGATGGCAGCATAGGTAAAGGCCAGCACTCCCCATCTCCCACAACCATATCAAAGTCACAACTAAAATACAGAAAGCCATCATTCAGAACAGCCTGAAAGCTAGCTGACCGGCAGTCCTACAACTAGAGAAGTAAAGAGGAAAGTATATCGAGACTGAGAGGAGGGGTGGGGATGCAGAGGCACCGAAAGGGCTGGTCCAACACCCATGTGTGGCGTCTTTTTTAGTGTGTGTGGTTTTTTTTTTAACTGGGAGAGAGAATATAGCTGTGGAGGCCTCCTGTGAGGAGCAAGGGGTCCCCGCCAATCACCAGCCCTCCGCCCAGAGTTCCAGTGCTGGGAAGAGCAGTCCCCATAACTTCAGGCTGTAAAAATCAGCAGGGATTGGGGCTGAGTGACATGGAGGTGGTTGGAGTGCCAAGGAGTTCCTCTTAAAGGGCCAGCATATGGTTTTCCCAGAATCCATCCCTCTGGGCTCCAACACTAGAGTGGCGGCTTGAAAGGAATGTGAGACATTAGGAAAGGAACTGGATTGTCTAGCATCGGGGCAAGAACCTGGGGTGACTTTCTCCCAGATAGGGACACTCACGGGGGTTCCTGTGCTGGGAACCCCTATCCCTCCCCTATCCCAGAGCTGACTGACAGCCATCAGCTTGGCTCACAGGGAAAATTTCAATGAGCTTGGCTCACACTCTTTACTCCATCCTGATGATTCCCTAAGACCCACTGAAGCTGTTTACATAGTCCTTTCCATATGAATGGCCTGTCCAGGTTCAGGCTTCAGACTTTCCTAAAATCTCTTAAAACAAGAAGCAGCTGACATCAATAAGAGAACATGCTTCACAGATAGGTGCACTTGGTCACTTCGAAGACCAACACAAGTGGCAGCCATCTGCAGATCTCTCTGCAGCTCCTGTTCCAGTGGCTGAAGTTGCAACTCCTGGAAGGCTCCAGAGCCAGTGCACCAAGTGGATAGCTTCAGACCATACCAGATCACAACCCTACACATCCACAAGTGACACACTCAAGGAGAAGACTCAATGTGAACCAAAGCCCCAGTGAAGCAAGTCTCGCTCCATAGGGGTGTCTCTTGCACAGCAGCTCTCCCACTGTAGCTGCCACTGGTCCTTACAGCCAATTGGCTGGGGGGAAGAGAGAGGGGTCAAGTACTCTCAGTGACACCAACAGCAATCAAGGCTCAACTACAACAAGACAGTGTACACAGACCACACAAGGGCACACCTAGAGTGTCCAGCTGAGATGACTGAGGAGGTTGAGTCTACAGAAACCTACTTCACAAGGTCACTCTACCAACTCCAGGAGACATAGCAGCTCTGCCCAATACATAGAAGCAAACACAGAGAAGCAGCCAAAATGGGGAACAAAGAAACATGTCACAAATGAAAGAAATGGAAGCGAGCAAACCATTGGATACAGAGTTCACAACAATGGTTATAAGGTTGTTCAAGGATCTTAATGAGAGTATCAAGGGACTTACTGAGAATTTCAAAGACATGAAAAAGGACCAGGCAGAAATTCAGCATACACTAACTGAAATAAAGAATAATTTCCAGGGATGCAGTAGTAGAGAATTCTGAAAATCAAATCGACGATATGGAATATGAGGAAGGAGAAAACACCCAATTGTAAAAGCAAAAAGAATAAAGAATCAAAAAATATGAAACTAGTATAAGGAGCTTCTGGGATAATGTCAAGCATAACACCATTAGCATAATGGGAGTGCCAGAAGAAGAGATAAAGCAAGATATTGAAAACCTATTTGAAGAAATAATGACAGAAAACTTCCCCTACCTGGTAAAGGAAATAGATTTACAAGTCCAGGAAGCACAGTGAGTACCAAACAAGAGGAATCCAAAGAGGCCCACACCAAGACACATCATAATTAAAATGCCAAAGTTAAAAATAGAGACAATCTTAAAAGCAGCAAGATAAAAGCAATAACTTACCTACAAGGGAGTGCCCATACAACTGCCAGCTGATTTCTCAACAGAAACTTTTCAGGCCAGAAGGGAGTGGCAAGAAATATTCAAAGTGATGAACAGCAAGGACCTACAACCAAGATTACTCTACCCAGCAAAGCTATCATTCAGAATTGAAGGTCAGATAAAGAGTTTCACAGACAAGAAAAAGCTAAAGGAGTTCATCAACACCAAATCAATATTACATGAAATGTTGATGGGTATTCTTTAGAAGTGGAAGACAGAAAAAAGAAGAAAGAGAAAAGAAGAAAGAAGAAGGAAGAAGAAGAGATAAAAAATATGAACAATAAAGTGGCAATAAATAAATATCAACAACTGAATCTAAATCAAAATAAATAAACAGGAAACTTACTGAACAAAATAAACTCATGAATAAAATAGAACCAGAGCATGAAAACATGGAAGAGACTGACAAATTTCAGAAGGAAGGGGACAAGGGGATGAGAAGAGAGTAACCAAAAATGTTCAATGCATATATGCATTACCTATGGCACAGACAATAGGGTGGTGAAGGCCTGGGGCAGGGTAAAAACTGGGTGGAGGGAGGAACTGAGGGGAAAAATATATACTCTCAACAATAAAGACTTCAAAACAAAAACAGGAAGCACACAAGATGTCCTGATAAGTACATGTATAAACAAACTGTGGTATAGCCACAGTTATAGCCTATATAACAAAAGGCTAATATGCAAATCGACCCAACAGTGGAAAAACCAGTTACTATGATGCACACTGACCACCAGGGGGGGCAGATGCTCAAAGCAGGAGCTGCCCCCTTGTGGTCAGTGTGTGCCCACAGGGGGAGTGGCACCAGAAGAGCACAGTGTGGGTGGCAGAAGCCTCTCACACCCCCGTGGGCTTCCAGACTGCAAGAGGGCACAGGCCAGGATGAGGGACCCCCACGAGGGCACGGATTTCATGCACCGGGCCTCTGATTCTACAATAAGAAATGAACTATCACACCATGAAAAGACACAGAGGAACCTTAAATGCCCATTGTTAAGTGTCAGAAGCCAGTCTGAAAAAGCTGCTTACTATATGATGCTAACTAACCATATGACGTTCTGAAAAAGGCAAGACTATCTAGACAGTAAAATTATCAGTAATTGCCAGAGTTTCAAGGGATGAGGAGAGGGGAAGAGGGATAAAGAGGTAGAACACAGGGCACTTTTAGGAGCAGTGAAGTGATTATACATGAGGATAATGGTGGACACATGACATCATGCATTTGTCAAAATCTACAGAACTGTACAGCAGCAAGAGTGAAATCTAATGTAAACTAGGAACTTCAGTTAACGATAATATACCAATATGGCCTCATCAATTATAACAAATGTGCCACACTAATGACAGAAGTTGTGCATGTGTTGGGGGGAAGTGGAAATGGGAACTCTCTGTACTTTCTGCATAATTTTTCGATAAACCTAACACTGCTCTTAAAAAATAAAGTGTATTTTTTTAAAAGATGGGGGGCAGGGAGGGCGACAACACCATAAAAAATATAATAAAATCACGTGCAAAACGGCCCTTTTCTCAAACTGTTGAGATTTTTGCTTCCCATCAATGGTCAGTTTGGCTCAAATAAACTCATTAAAAAATCTTACAGGTTTGGACGTTTCTTACATGGACAATACGAACAGCTGTAAGCCTATCTTTGCCCACCC